AATCGAGCGCGCCTTAGACCTTAGAGAAGGCGCGCTCGATTTGCTTACCCAGTTGTCCAGGAATGATATAATATTATTAATAAGTAATTCGTGCGCACGTTAAACTTATTGCGTGGCCACGAAATACTACTTCGTGCGCACGAAATACTATTTCGTGGCCGCAATAAAAAATTTTTTTTGACCATGTCATCCGTAAATAAGAGACATCTAGAATGCTAGAGAAACTAATATTCAAGTCACCTCTGCGTGACTTCAAAATCTCGGCAATTTGGGATCTCTAGAACTGTTGCAGTCTGGTAAATTTCTGTTAAATAAGAAAACAATAAATATGAGTTAGTTTTTATCTGTAACTGTGAGTCAACGTCCTCTGAGGAGCTGAGATTAATTGCTTTTTTTTAAGGAAAAAACATTTAAACTGTATGTTGTGTAAAATTTATCACCTTAAATGACTAACTTACATAAGATAAACACTCTATTGTTGATTTTTTTTTAAGCTTTTTTTGGCATCTTTTTTTTTTCTTATTTATTTAATTTTTTTAAACCAACCTGTCTCATAACTCTTAGTTTAAAATAAAACGTGAAGTAGCTGCCGGTTTAAATTTACTGCTACAGTTTGTTGTCTCTCCCCCGATCACTACAACGTAAACAGTGAATAGCCACCACCAATCATATAGGAGTCTTATCTACAGGGCTCCGGACAGATCTAGTGATGATATATGGTATAATGTTACACCGGTAGGTGGGACTAGCTAGCATCCAGAGAGAGAGAAAAAAAAACACTCTGAACACAGACAGACAACTGCGCCCATCCAGAGTTTCTGTTGGCTAAATGAAATGAATGGAAAGGGAAACAGAAGTGCACATTATTGGTCCACACCAGTCCTTCAGAAAGTTACGCCTATAAGTATATATAACAAACAGAACAAAGAATGGAGTAATTAACTGATTGGGAGCAGGCTTGTGCAGAAGGATCTAGAAGGGAGCCAAGGTAAAGGAGACTGCCACAAGGGTCCAACAGAGATTAAACAACATGTACTAAAATACAACCAGAAAAAAAGCTTGAAATGAAAGCAATGCCCTAAAACAGGGAATGACATAAATCAAAGTGAAACTGAAAACTCAAAAAGAAAACTAAAAATGAACCAAAAAGTTCAGAAAGGGCAGAATTATGACAGTATGTACAGTAAATGACAAAATATAGTGAGAGATAAAATATGCTATAATATTATATAATGTATATGAAAATGGTAGTTTGATTTTCTGTACATTCCCTTATATTATATCAAATTGAACCACTGAATGTACATATGATAAAATATTAATAAAATTTTTTTATGAATTATAGCCTAGTGAACTAGCCCCACCCGGCAGCGGCCAAAATCAGTTTTGCCTGCCAGTTTGGTCTAGCCTCGATCAATGCCCCAGGCCCTAGAACTGGTGGGCCAATCACGACGCAGAGATGTGTTTTGAATTTCTGGATGCAAAGGGGGCGGGGATTTGAGGGCGTGAAGATCCATTTCTTTGGAGCATGCTATGCTTCTGGTCTCTACAGTATTTTGCTTTTTTTCTTTCCACCTGCAGAGAGGACTGGCTGAAAGTTCAGCTCATATGTTTGTTGCTCCATACTCACATTCTTGTCAGTCGAGAAACAGTAAATGTTTTATTAAACTATATATGCTTTTATAATACAATATGATTGTAACTGATAGGAACTCTGTAACTTTAGTAACTGAAATTATGACTTATAATTGTAGCTGTGTTTAGGAAGGAAGTAAGTTTATTTGTGAAACAGCATTGTGTTCTTTTCGCAGTGCAGCAATTGGTCAGGTTGTTGAATCACAAATAACTCTGAGTGTAAGGGAGGAAGGAAGTATTTCTTTGAACCATTCCTTGTTAGGAATAGATAAGGAGTTTAACAGTGTCCAGAAATACA